ACCTCTGCCAATAATGCACCGGTGTTACCAAATTTGCTGCCACGTCTCTGCTGTCACGACTTCTCCCGTCGTCGATACTTGACTTGTTGGCAGGCCCTTGTGCTCTCTGTCTCGTCTCCTCTGTGAGGGCCATGGTGGTCATGACCCCATGACAACCAAGGTTGCGACCACCCACGCATCATGGCCTTGCCTCGAAGGACACCCGCTAGGCCAGTCCTCCCTGTCCTCAAACAGAGGAAGGCCAACTCTGTCGGGTCACAATCCTTGGAGTTGCTGTCCAGCCTCGGGTGATACTAGATTTGGAATTACTGAGGATAGCGTGGTTGAGCCTAGGCTTGGCCACATCGAGTCCAGCGTGCGAGCCCAAACTTCACTGTGACACATAGGGGTACAGAGAGGGGAACTCAGCAACGAAGGTGGGGCCTTGTCAAAGAGCCAGTGGTAATAGCGGCATCATCGGGAGGTGCGGGAGATGCTAGTGGCGTCAGCGTGGCGGCAGAGAGGCTCAGTTGGAGGTGCGGCCTTGGCCGGTGGCCAAGTCGTCGTGCGGTGGAAGGAGGTATCGTAGCATTTGGATTAAGGGCAAAATGGGAAACGAGAACGAGGGAAAAAAATGAAAAGGAAAGAGGGAGGAAAAGGACATCTAATGTGAGGTGTCCATTTTCTTGGTTGCTGATGTGTCCAAATCTAAAGAGGGTAAGTATATCTAACTACAGAGAATACTAAATTGAGACAATCCTGATCCTAAATAAAACATCCTCGCCCTCAAATGACACCACTTGGTCCACATGAAGTGGATTGTGATCATTATAGAAAAGGTCTAGACCATGGCACTATCTAATAGAATGTGTTGAAGATTATCAATGTGTTGCTTAAAACTTTTTCCATAATTTTCAAAATTCATTAGACGATCATCTTACTTGCTTCGCAATTGATTCTCTAGATGATAAGTACGAGGGATTATCGTCCCTATATATGTTATCTTATTGGAATAGTAATAGCGCAACGTATCAACGAAATGATCTTAACGAGTAAAGCTTGCACTTTAGCTAGCCACATAGTCCAACTGCGGACAAGCATTACAATTTATGGGTGTGTGTCTTTGTGTATATATACACGTTTGGTGCATCAAACAAATGATTGGTGCAAAATAAATAGCTGACTCGTTTAGACAATCTACGAGATGCTGCCAAATCTTAGTAAAAGTTAGCTTTTGGAAGGAAGCTTACCACTTCCAAAGGACAAATTGGACAATCACTCTGACGATCGCACGCATGCATCTTTTTCTTGCACTTCGGATGCTTTCAAAATATATCGAGATTCACGGTATTTAGATGTATTTGGACGTACTGTCCTCGCCATGGTCTAGCCGAAAATTTACCGTACCAATCCCACTGTATATAAATAAAGAGAGAGGCTTCGTTTGTTTCGCGAAAAATGTAACATTTCTGAAAAATGTTTTTCAAAAAAATAATAATATTTTCTAGTATTTTGCTGAAATTTGAAAATGAACTAGAAAATATTTTCCACTGTTGGTATAGAAAATCTGATTTGTTTTTCTTACTTGCACTCATTTTGGTAATTTTTATTTTTAAATTTTTTAAGATTGATTTTTTAATTATTTTCTTTTCTTTCTTTTTCTTTTTCCTTCTTCTTTGACTGGTTGCCAACCACGGCGACAGCCGGCAACCGGCCATAAGCGAGGGACAAGCTTGCCTGAGGCTGGCAAATCTCAAGTCTCGCCAAGGCTCGCCTAAGGACGGCGAGCTCAAGGCTCACCAGATCGGCGAGCTCATCACTCGTTTGTGGTTTGTCGCCGGCCATCACCGTTGCCAGGCACCGATCGATGAAAAAGGAAAAAGAAAAGGAAAAAAAAAGGAAAGAAAAAAGAAAATGAAAATAATTATAAAAAATTCAGAAAACTTAAAAAAAAATCAGACTATTATAAAAATTAAAATTCACTTAAACTTGTTAGGTAACTCATTTATGTTCCATTTAATACCCATTAAGTTGTTAGATAACTCATTTATGACCTACTTAAGCTTGTTTTTAAAACTTAAGACAATCCATTTGATTTACACCATTATATATAAGTTAATATATGGGTTCTAGACCTATTTTGTCACCTCTAATTACGCGATCCATTCCAGACTGCGGGAGTCACTCTTCCCCCCTTATGTAGTGTGAATGCAAAAGGAGAGAGTGCACTCACGCTTATAAAGGGTCAAGTTTTTACGTCAACCGAATACCCGATGCTGACTCACCTCGGCCAATGACATTGATTAAAGACCGACGGTCAATTAGTGATCAGTCCGAGAAGTTGTTGTGGAGTAAATAGATTATGTTGATTATGGCGTCCCCAAATAGTGAGATCCATGCTGTTCGAAGAGCACTAGTTTCAATTATATTTCTACGTTCGCTTCGTTCCATCATTAAAAAAACGAGTCTATTCAGCACTCTTTCGATCAATCCAAAGAATGTCATAGACTCACCTCGAATAATGCCCAGCCCATTGTAAAAAGGAACTTTCACCTTAAATTAGTGATCAATGAATTGAGAAAAAAATTATCAGAACTGGGATTAATGATAAAACCCGGAACTAAAGGAATTTTTTCAAATCAATACTCCTCATCTTCAATAATCTTGCACACAATGGGGTTGATGATTTATTAGTGAATTCAACTAAGAACAAAGTTAAAGTGAAGGATTGGATGGATTTCCTTCTATAGAGAATAAATAAATATCGCTAAGATTATTTTCATCTCACATACTACCAAAATTTTTCGACTATTGGAGCTAGAATTTACAGTTTGTTGACTGTCTTATCATGTTAGGAACAAAGCTGTACGGATCCAATCTAATATTGATAAAATATCGATCCCAGTAGCTCCAAAGTAAAAATCGAAAATTTGAATTGGCCATTCCTATACTGTGAGGACTTCAATACATGAATCTGTAATTTAAAATTTTCATTAAATGAAACTTTGGGGAGAATTATTAGAACAACGAAAAAGACTACTAACTATGAATTTTTTAAACTGGAATATATAGAAATTTTAACGATTCGAAGAAATTAAACAGGAACCATTCTTTGAAGTTTGAAAAGATAAGTGTAACACCTTGAACCCGAAATCCAAATTCGAGCATGTTACTCAATCGTTAATTATCAAAAATAGCCATAAAAAGAAATTGCAACGTCCTTAATTCCTCAAAATTACGAAGATTATTCTTGTTTTTTTTTTTTGGTAAGGACGAAGATTATTCTTGTTCAACATGCCTAACACCTAATTCCATAAAAATGCACATTCCAAAATTACATACACCATAATTCATAAGAAATTATTAACAGAATAAATAAAAGCAAAAAAGAGAATACAAACTAATAAGTGGTACATTGATAAATTAACATGAAAATACAAAAGAGATTAAAAGTACACCTATGTGCTTAAAAAGATAGTTGAAAAGAAGAAACTATTTTCCATTAATTAACATTATAAATAAGAAAATAAAGAGAAAGAAAAGGAAAAACTGAGCTAAGTAAAATCTTATGTTTGTTTGGGAAATGAAGAGTGAGAACACTTTCAAAAAAATGACAAAAAGGAAAAAAAATGGAGGCGCTAGAGTTGGCGGCTTGATTGACATATGGTAATCTAAAGAGACCATCGTGGGTTTCACTCTTGGTAACCGGCATTAATGTATTAAAGATATATAAATATACGGATGTATTGATTGAGAAATCGAAGGAGAAAAGGAAAAAAAATTAGGAACTCTCCTTTAATCAAGGGGAATCTATAGAAGATTGCAAAGAGTTTCTCTTGAAAAGAATCATTGATCAGACTGGATAGAAGATTCGCAGTGATTAGATGACGAATAAATGTCTCGTGAAGTTTTGAGGACCGCCATGTACGACCATAGAGCAAAATAAGGCCCCGTACGCATTGAATTGCAAGATGGATCGGCCATATAGACTCTATTCCAATCAACAGTCAGAGTCAGGAAAAGAAAGTTGCAAAGATTGATAAGAACCATCAATTCTTATTCCCACAGCCCCCTCATCATGTACTTAAATGAGTATAATTGATTATGAAGTATTCACAGAGAAAAAAAAAAACCACTCCGAAAGTATCTAATAATGGCGGGCAAAAGCCTCCGACAAGCAAGTGTTGGATGCTTTTCAAGCGAAAACAGCCACGTTTTTGCTGCGTAACCCAATTGAATTAAGGTCGGTCTGACACAATTTATGTTGGTGAATCAACTCAAACTCCCTGGACCACCGCCTCTGTAACTATACGATTTGTAAGCTAACAAAAGAAAGTTGAAAGGGGCAATGGCTTTCTAACTTCTTCACTGAGGGTAGCTCCTAGCTATGCTTGTTCTCCCACACGATGCCTCGACTTGGATGTGGACTTTTTAGTTGGAGAATTCGTAATTGGCGTGTATTACTCATTGTACAATGCAAAAACATATACAATTATTGCTCCAGCGAAAAGGGAAGGGAAAAAATTTATCAATTACCCATAGCTACTAATAAAAGTCACACCAAATGTACATGTACTTGTTTAGCCGGAATTTGATTGATAGCGAAATATCTTTCACCGAAATTAGTTCTTCCGTTTTATTAAGAAGAGACAGATTTTATGGTGATTTCAGACAAAAGTCTTATCAATGGAGCACAAACATGTATACTTCAGAGGTATTTAATCAACAATGAAGTGTGATAACATAAAAAGATTTGCCGGAATTTAATCAATGACAAAGTACAATGGCATAAAGATAGTATGTCGGAATTTAATCAAAGGCGGGGATATGAAAGCTACAACTAAGATACATGCCATAATTGAATTGATTACTAAATATCTGGAAACTACAACTAAGGTACTAGAATCAAAAGATAACAGATTTTTTGTTGTTTGTGTCTCCAACACATGAATACTAGTATTTATAGTGTTTACAATATAACTGTCCATAGGAAGCTCTTCAGAGATTTCAACTACACCATTGTGTCTCCATGATTTTCGGCTGCACATCTTCACGTTGTCATGCCATCTTATCTCTAGGCAGTTTACTCCTCGAAAATCGCACCTCAATCTTGTCTTCAAATTACCACAATTATCTTGTTTTGTCATCTCGTCTCTCTTATCTACGAATAGCTATAAGCTCGACTACCACTGCACTCAAATTTCATGCCCATGAAAATGGCTACATTCCTTGAACATCGTCTTGCTTAATCGATATCATTCGATCAATGTCTTCACTTTATCCAATACTTAGCCGAATTCGTTGTGATTATCGTCGATCAATCATTATCGTATATCAACAGTTACAGTAATAGTCATTGATAAGCATGGCTATTGGCAAGAATTTCCATAGTTGGTAGCTCATCGAAACAAGCCGGTCCATGTGGACTAATTGTGGGATTGCATATCCATTTTAACGGTACACCTTGCCGCGTGGGCCTATCAAGGGATAATAATAGCCTAGGAGGATCCCGATGTAAAGGACTGCGATGCAGAGAACAAGCGTCATGAGCCAAATAAGTTTGCTCACTGCCACAATTATGGCTGCCAAAAATGCCACTGCCATGCTGATAAAAGCCCAGAGCAATAATGACCCTGCAATGGTGTAAGCTCTTTTTGCTATGCGGATATCGCTACCGTTTCCCCCAAGGAGGACTACGACCGCAAGGATGGAGTTATACATGGCTAACGCGTCACAAATTACGAAAAGCTGGAACACTCCTTTGTGCAGCGTGGTTGCCATTCCTGGGTGTCGATCATCGGAAGCATTATATCCACCAGGCAAGGTGACCCCCGCAGTGAATGTGACGGAAGCCACAAGTGTGGCCACTAGCAGTTGAGTGTCCATCTCGGCCTTGATCCATTTGGCGCGAGATGGCTTGCTTGCTTTAGAACTTTGTTCTCTTGGTGACCGAACATCTCGATCTTTGCTTCGCGGTACTCTAGCTTTAATCAAAATATTACGTCCTTGTACCTGCAAATGTCAGGTCAAAGAATTAGTCATCAATCACGAGCACAGTAGATTCAGTTAACAATGAATACAGCCTGCAACCAAAATTACACTACCGCAGGGTCTTTGCTTGAGAAACTTTGGGGTTCCATGGCCACATCTAGGGCAGTCAATTTGTCATTGTTCATAAGCTCCAAGTCACTTCTTTTTTCACTCACCAAAGAGCGCAAAACTTCGCAATGGTTGTGCCTCGATGCCAAATGGAGGGGTGTGTTACCATCGACATCTTTCAACTTAACAAGCTCGCGGCATTCCCCGAGTATGTATCGGACCGCTTCATTGTTCCCGGCCTTGGCTGCAACGTGAAGAATATTCTGACCCTTATTGTTTTTTATCTCGGCCAGGTCGGACCACGTGTCGTCAATTAATGCGGAAATTGTGACGCAGTCGCCGCCTTCGCAAGCGATGTGAATCGGGTAGGAGCCGTCTTTGTCCGTTTGAAGGGCGAGATACGGGCATGCCCTCAGCAGGACCGTCACTGCCATCCAATTTCCAGCCAATGCTGCAGAGTGCAGTGGTGTGCCCCCGTTTTCATCGCGCACGTGGAGTAACTTCGGAAGCCGATCAATAATTTCTTCCAATATACCTGATATTATAGCACATGGCAATTTTTAGGTTGGGGTGCAATTAACTCGTTAAGATAATTGTTGCTGTTCGCTCCTGCAGAGCTATTTGCCTTTTGACCGAAAGCTATTATTAATCAAGCTTCTCTCCAAATTGGACGAATATGAACTTTGAAAAAAGAGCAAAAAGCAGTGCAATTTACTCACATCTATGCATTCATGGACTAGAACTACTACGCATACAAATATCCATTACCTGGTTTCCATTCCCACTCCTTGCATGCGGCCAAAACTGGCGACATGCCTTGTATCTTGATTGCGTAATCTTCATCTCGAGCATATCCTTCCAAGAGAAGCCAAAAAATCTGCATGTCCCCGGTTTCGGCTGCCACATACAACGGAGATTTATTATCCTTGTTATTCCGGTATATAATTTCAGAGTATCTTCTCCGCTTAATCAGCTTGCTTGTCGCGTTGAACCATCCATCTTGAACGGCGACATGGAGTGGAGTATCATCCGAGGAGTTTTTCCGGGTCACGAGGTAAGGAAAATGAGTGAGAATGAGCTCCACGACATCATCTTTCCCAGAGCTTGCTGCTACATGAAGCAATGAATTCCCGGAGGGGGTGACTTAATTGAAGATTAGCGACAAAGCTAGTTTCCTCGACTCAGAAACAGCTTCTAATGCATCAATGAATTTGTCGGCATCCCCATCTATCGTGGCATTATAAAGGGCATGATCCATAATTTTGTTCAGATCACCATCTCCGACCTGTTGTTGATTATTTGGAGTCGGGACGTATCTCGCCTTCAAAGCTTCAAGCCTTTCGTTTCGCACCGCCATTGGTACACTCTCGTCAATGCTTATTGCTACACTCTCGTCAATGTTGTCAATGCTTGTTGCTACACTCTCGTCAATGCTTATTGTGCGATGCATTTCGAACTATGAAAGTGGGAGTATCGCTGGGTGAACTGGATCGCACAATGAAAAGTGAGAGTATAGCTAGATAGTACGAGTCGATGCCAACGAGGACGTCAGTTCCTTAAATAGGGGAGGTGGTGAAATCCCAAGTCTTAAATCGGATAAGAGAGATTAAGGGTGTCAAAAACCGAACTGTACCGAACTAAACTGAAATTTCGTACATTTTCAGTTCAATTGGGTTTTTAGTTCGGATAATAAAAAAATAATCATTTTTTCTTTGGGTTCGGGTTATTTTAGTTCATATCGGATGGGTTATCCGAACCGAACTGAAAATTATCCATCCTCTTAAATTTAGCAATTTACCCAAAGCTTACCAAGGACCTCTGCGTCCTCGAGATAATCGCCGCGATCAACGGCTCCTCCTTCAACGGCGACAACTCCCCTTGCCCTCTGACCTCGAGTCCTGTTTCTGCAAGCTCAAATCCTTCCCTCTCTCCAAACTCCAAACCACCACTCCTGAATTGGAGCAATCGCAAGACGGAGTTGACGCTCGAATTCGTCCGGGGAGGACGCGATTTTCTCGCCGCGGAAGCGGAATCTAGCCGAGAAATCGCATCGGAAGTCCACCACGAACTACGATCCAGTCTCTTCACCGAGGCCAGGGCTATTAAGTAGGGGAAGAGCATGAGCTTCAAATGGATGGAGGAGGACGAGGTATTGTGGGATTTGGGGGGTTTTCTCTGATCAAGAGAAGAAGAAGTTGCTGAAGAAGGCAAATGAAGGAGGATGATGAGCGCTTCAAGAAGCACTGTGGCGACCGTGGGACGTTGGGTTGTTTTGCCATTCCAAGTTTTGAGGGCGGGGATGAGCAATTGGAGGTGTGGAGATAGCCCGGAAAAAAGGAAAACCGAATCAAACCGAATTGACCCGAACTGGATTTTCGGTTCGGTTCGATTTTCTTGCTTCGGGTTATATTCAGTTCGGTTCGGAAGCTCAACCTAAGGATTTGGTTACCACCTTATGTGGCTACCTTTTACTTCTTTTGAGGTTTTGACGCACGTGGTATGACTCGGATCATTACAAATTGATCAAGGAATGACTTCTTTTGGCATTCTATGCACTGCACCTACTAATTAATAGTATTTCTCTTAAACGCTGAAAAATGAGATAATCAGGATAAAGGAAATCCATCAAGATCAAATTTCGCACGAGGAGATTCAGTTTTTTATCCATCAATGAATTAAAAACTTGTATTTGCTTTGCAGCAATTGCAGCCTTAATTTTGTTTTTTTTTTTCCCTCTCATGTCTCTTTTTGGTTGCATTGGAATCGACTTATTGAGAAAAATGGTGACAAAAAATAAATAAATGAAATTAAAGTAGGGCAAGTCAAATCCTTCAAAATATATGTATGATGATATATAGATTGGTCAAGACATTTTAGCTAATTAAAAAGGTTTAGGGCTTTGTTTGGCCTTAATGCAAGTAAAGTAGTCCCCTCTGTATCCCAGATTCATATCATAACCCTTGGCAGTATCTTAACTCTTCTCTTCTTTAGTGAGAGACCCCACATCCTGTCTGTATTCTCGCTTTCTTGCATTGAATGGCAGGGTACGACGGTAAGGACTTTGACTGAGCGGGGCCTCCACGTGAATGCAAAATATCTCCTCTTTTCGGAGACCCCGCATCCTTGTCTTATCTCCATCTCGCATTGAATGTTAAGAGCGCGGTTTATTGAACGTTGGACTTATCTTTATGTTTGTTTGTGTTATATAGCTCTCTTTCTTTTCTCTTTTCTGTTTTGGTCAAGGTCTTTTAGCGCTCTCTAGTAGCCGATTTTTCTTACTTTTTGACAAATGAAAATAATACCGCTATCGCATGGACAGTGAAAGTGACGAATTAATTTCTGGATCCAAGGAGAGAAAACAAACGTGATAAATTACTTCAGGTAATCAAAATAAGTATTCAAAAAAGAGAAAATAGCACCTAAAATCCCAAATTATTACCTAAAACTCTGAACTATACTTACTATGGCATCAATACTTTAAACTTTTTATTAAATTCCGTCCAAGATGGTCCTTAAAAATCTTACATAGCGGCTTGTGGGCAAATAGAAGTTACAGTTTATACCCGATTTGATATCAATACACCAGATTTTTTTTTTGCATTACAAATATTCCAAAGTTTACTGTACGGAAAATTGGGAAGAATTGGGGAAATGACTTTGTTATCTTCGATTTCCACGATGTACCTTTTTTGCTAAAATATTTGCCAATTGTTGATGCTGATGGGGTACACCCCCACTACTATGAATGTTTTTGTTTGATGAAAGTCTCTTTCTACCGAAAAAGATCATCTCGACCTGGCTACTACCTTTAATGTAGAAAATTCAGAATCAACATTACGGAATTCCTATTGTTTTCAGTAGATTTCCACATTGTGAAGGTGAGTATAAGGATATGAACAAAAAATAATTTTCCCTTTCCTTTTATTTTTTAAATTTCACTTATCCTTTTTTCTTATTGAATTTTCAAATTTTTTTTTCTGATGTAGCGCTTAGTAGGCACCACGTTGGGACAAGGCACCTTAGGTTAGTAACAAACAAAGTATATTCCGTTAGTCAAATTGAATGAAGTTTAACAAAGTGATTTTATTGTATTAATTTGACAAGTTGTAAAATTTGATTGCACTATATGAAAATTATTAGATTCAATTGTATTTTTGTGATAAATTGATGCATTTGTCCTGGAACTGTATTTTGCATCAGATTACTCCTTTGTATCTAAAACACTTGGTCAACTATACTAGCTCAATTATAACAGCTTGTGCTGAATATTTCTTGAATATAGTTGTTTCTTATGTGATATAGAAAAAGGGGGTACACCGACATAAGGATAACCACGACTTATGCCCATGGACTTATTGTAGATACGCTTCATATAACCAGGGCTCACACACGGCCTCTGTATGGTTAATTATGGACTTGTGAGCACTTGAGCAGGATTTCGGGTCAATACCCTCTAATTTGGGTTCTTTTAAAGAGTTTTGATATGATGGACAAGGAGTGGGGCTCATTATGGGATGTTTAATATGATCTAGAAAGCTATTTTTAGATAGTTTATTTCGTGACATTCTAAGATTTATGAGGATGTGAAATAACTTGCAAAATAATATATATATATATATATAAAAGATTGAATTCCTCTTAATTTAGGAGGTAATTGTAGCCGCTAAAGTATTTCCATATCTTAGAGAAATATCAGCAAAATAGAAGAGGGCCTTTTTTTTTTGGTCGGAAAATAGAAGAGGGCTTGTCTACGTAGATTTTTGCAATTTCCTTTTGCTTAATTTAATAATTTGCACAATTAGATGGAAAAATTTTTTGGAGACAAATTAAATTGAAAAATCCCTCCCTTTCACTTATACAATAGCTTGTAATGCTATGTCTTTTTCGAAACCGGGACCTTTTTTCTTGACTTCCACTCCTCGTGTACCCTTTTATCTTGAAGTAAGACATTTGAAGCAAAATATTCAAAATGACTCGTATTAGAAATAGCACATATACTTAAGTTTGGATCCGCTTTATTTACTCCCTTTCTCCTTTAAGGAACTCTTGTTTCTCTCTCTCTCTCGCTCCAACCAGACGCACCAAAACAAGCAAGCGGGTGTTGTTTCTCCATATCACGTGATGTCATAACAGCTGAATACTAAATTGTTGGTTCACTTTTTCCCAAATCGCATAATTTTTTTTCAATATTTCGTACACATAACGAAATTCACGTGAATCACTCTGAACAAATTCATTGGTTAGTCTCAATTCTGAACTAACTTAATTTTGTCCCCCCTTTCTAAAGTATTGTTTTTCTTCCGACCGTTGGTAGGAGCATCGCATTTGTCCATCTGCTAGTCTACCGACTTTAAATTAACTATTATATGCTTTATGAATTCACATGACAGCTCTTATTTTGAAGCAATGTTCTTGATAAGATTCAATTCGGGAAAAATTCGAATAAAAATAATCTTGATAAGCACATGCAGATCACAAACGATACACGCATGAAATGGAAAAGAGGCAATAAAGAAATCATAAAGCTTGTAAATGTTACACGGTTTAAATGAGTCGATTCCTTTCAAATATTTTACATCAAAAGGATAAAGCCCGTGCTACGCACCTCGCATGGGTATAAGTTAAACTGCCATGGATCCGAGTGTTCCCTTGAATTTAGAATATTAGCAAAACGTCAGTTTCATTTAATAGGTTATGGAATACAAATTTAAAAAAAAAATCTGAATTTTTATTCTGTTATTTTCTTTTTCTTTCATTCCTTAGATTTTTGGCCGGCGGGTTCACCAGGCCCTAGCAATCCTCACCGGCCACAGACAAAGAGGTCGCGGCCCTCATCTAGATTTGGGTGACGGCTGTGATCCCCTCAACTAGATCTTGTCCCTAGTGACCCCAGCAAAAATCCGACGAAGGAAAAAATGAAAAGAAAAGAAAAAGGAAAAAAATAAGAAAAAAAATTGTCAACGTCAGTGATTTTTGGCAAAAATTGACTGAAATGACTATATTGATAAATCGTCAAAATGTTTATGACTAAATTGATAAATCATCAAAACGTTTAAGATTAAATTGATAAAATTAAAAAATTTAGAATTGAATTAATCGTCGTATAATAAAATTGTGACTTTTTGGATGATTATCCGTTGATGTGGATAATGACCGAAAGCTTCTCTAACGTTGACGTTGTATTTATGATTGTTTATCTTTTAGCTCTCTAGTAACTAACTTTTTTTAATTTTTGAAAGATGAAAAAGATACCAGTATCTTCCTCTCGCAAAAGGTTGGGTGTTCGAATCCCGGGGGCCGCAGGGTGACTTAACCGGTGCACGTGTGTAGTGGCTAGCACGTGTCGCCCCCAGGGTTTACCTCCCGGCTGTCGGCCGTGCGGGAGTTCCCTGGGTTACCAAAAAAAAAAAAAAAAAAGATACCAGTATCATATGAACTGTGAACGCGACGAGGGATCGAAAGAAATAAAATTGAAGCAATGCACTTGCATCTGTTTGGAGTCTTCTTTAAGAACACCACAGTTCACACTCGAGCAGTCAAGTGGACTGCAACATCCTCAAGCTCAAAAACTTGACTCGTGGCAAATAAAGTGGACAATAATTGACTTGCGTCGAACCTGGGATGCAAAATAAATAGCTGACTCGTTTAGACAAGGGATTGGAAGTGTATTAGCTTTGAACCGAACTACAATTAGAGCCGAATGTAACCCGAACTAAAGATACGGTTTGGTTTGATTTTTCGGTTTTCTTTTTTATAATATTAAGAAGATGTTTAGTAAAAAAGGAGAGAAATTATGTAAATTGTAATATTAAGAAGATGAGCGATTTTTTATTTTAACCGAACTGAATCTATCCGAACCGAAATAAAAAAACAGTTAATTTGGAAAACAGTCCAAAACCCAGTTCAGTCATAGAAAAAAAATCTTGCTTGTCGTGGTACAAATTTGACTGTGAATTTGCCAATCAGAAATAGATTTTTGTTGCGGAAAAATGATTACCACGGTTGGCATCAAATCCTAAGGTTTATATTTATTTGTAATTTACGTACTAGATTCACCGAATAATTTCTAAAGGGGTGACACCCAAATATCTACTCCCAATTGATGTGTGTGTGTGTATATATATATATATATAGAGAGAGAGAGAGAGAGAGAGAGAGAGAGAGAGAGAGAGAGAGAGAGAGAGAGAGAGAGAGGCATTGTAGCATTTAAGAAAAGTTGAGACAGGTTCGTATCGAATGGTTCATATCGTAACTCTTTTAGCAGTATCTTGCTTTTCTCTTCTTTAGTGAGACCCCACATGCTATCCTCTCTTTCCTTGCATTGAATAGCAGAGCAAAAGACTCGGATTGAGCGAGGCCTGCACATG